AAGTCTCTTATTGTGTTTCCCTTCCGACTGGGGGACTTGTAGACTTCGGGGCAAACTTTCTTTGACGGTGGTGGATTATTCCCTTCGTTCGCCTCCGTATCCGAAACTGGCTACATCTGTTCCAATTCTGCTTCAGCCTCCAAGCGAGTCTTGAACTCTCTTTTTTTCACTCAATTGATACGTTCCCACATTGGGTTTGGCATGGAGAACTCGTCTTGAGAGAGTTTCGCTACCGCGTTTTTTTTCCGGCCAGTGTAGGATTCCAGCTTCTTTCCAACCAGAAAGAATTACGGTTAGGCATGTTTCGCATCTTTCAATTGTTTGTACCACTTTAAATGGCATTTTTTCCGCACTTGAACTTGGACGACACTAGCTGACTCCCTTCCGAAACATTTTGAACTGTCACTTTTCTCCAGGCAACTTTGTCATCATAAAACTGAACGGTACCAAGTCAAGTCAAAATGGATAATAAATAAACAATAAGGTATTCAAATTTACTTTATAAATGCTATAATAAACCATTGTGCAGCGATGATCGAGACGTTTCCGTCGGATAAGATTATTTTGCGGCCGAGTGTCTAGGAAGCTATGGAAACCGAAATGGCTCTTGATTTTGTTTTATGCCCTTATAGTATAAACCACCATCGCACTTTGTGAGTTGCCCCAATAGAACCCTTGCTTTTGGTTTGAATCAGTACGAATTCGTTCTATTATATAAAAAAAAAAAAGAAGTATACATATTCATTTTCTTCCGAACTAAATAAACCACCATCACACTTTGTGAGTGGCCCCAACAGTATCCTTGCCGTTGGTCTAAATCGGGTCAAATCGGTTCTAATAATTATTTTATATTCAATCAAGTAAACCACCATCACACTTTGTGAGTGGCCCCAACAGCATCCTTGCTGTTGGTTTAAATCGGTTCAAACCGCTTATAATTAATTATTTTGGTCATTGATAAAATAAAATAAACCATCATCACACTTTGTGAGGGGCCCCAACAGTATCCTTATTGTTGGTTTAAATCGGTATACACACATCTAATAATGATCTACATCTCTAGACAGCCGGCTGTTTAGAGCATAAATCGAAAACACTTATAAATAACTACACAAAACAAAAGATCGCATCACTTATCAAGGTGAATCCTGATCCAACGAACCTAACCCACTAACAAAACCTCCTTTCTGTGACTTTTGTGGGATGCAGAGGTAAACACGGTCCCAAAACAACAAAAGTCGCACACTAACATTCCTTCCCTCTCCCACCTGATTGCAAGGACGTGGCCGGTGACGTTATTGATCTTTAAAGGTAGGAGTCACTGGAACATGTACACTGAGAATGGCAGGTTACTACCAAGCCCCATTCAGTTGATTCTTTGTACAATTTCACTGGTTCAGATCAATCACGGAGTGCAACTATCGATACGTGCAGTCAGACTAAGCTAAGCTAAGCTAAGCTAAGCATCGTACTGTATCACAAATTAAATCGTTTACGATGTCAAATCAACTCGTATGAAAAGAAACCAAATTTCTTTCGTATTTTGATTCCAATTTTGTACGTATACGTTTGTAAATATGTTTGTATATCACAGAAACAACTTGGAATATTCAAGCATTCTGGTTATCATTGTTGTCCTCAACTGTCCTATCGGTATGGAACTCAAAAATCGGTAGAAATACCGATTTATCAGTAGTTTCGACAGCACTACTCTCGAAAACTAATCAGTAGGATTGTCGTCAGATTTTCCGTCATTCCAGGAAGCGATTTCAATTCCTTAAGCTTTCTTTCGTATAACGATTCACCGAACCGCGACAGGCAAGATTCATCCCTGGTTGTGCATCCTTGAGCGACAAGCCATGTCCACAGAGGCCCACCCTACGAATGCATCTGGCGTGACCGGAGACTGGGAAACTGCTACATCAGCCGAAAAAGCCGAACGAACTTCATAATCGTAGCTGCAGCAGCAGTAAGAGATGCACGTCATTTCCTGCAGGCTAAAAATGGCCTTTTGTTAAACACGGAACCGACCAGTCACCAGCCAGCAAAAGCGCGGCCCAAAAAAACAACCCAAACGCTAGCATGAGATTGCTCGCGAATTTCATTTCTTTCAACGTTGTGCAATAATTTCTCGCAATCTCTCCCTTGGACCGTGCTCCCTCGTGCCATCATCGCCGATCCCAGGGATTTCTGCAGAAAATCCTGTGGAGGTAGAGCAGCAGTAAAAAAAAAAATGATCCAAAAGTCTAGCTCGTTCTAATTCTTTCCGCGAATTCTCGCGCTTTTTGCATCGCCGTTGATGCCGGAGTCGAGTCGCTTCTGGTGCTTCTGCATCTGCATTCAAATCCTCCATCCCTAGGCCATTTTTCAGCCCCATGTCATCGTCAAATTTATCGTCGCCGTTGTTCTTTGACGGATGCGCTTTTCCGTTCTAACACAAGCCCCCCCCCCCCCGCTACAGCTGCATTCCACGTCCTCCCTCCCACCAATCATCAGAGCGCTGTGTAGAAGAGGATCTTCAAAACTGCAGCCAAGTTATACGTGAAAAATGATGCAAACGAAGGAAAAACGAAAAAGAACGCTTCCACCGAAAAATGCGAATGCTTTTTGTTGGGCGACTTGATGCAGCAGGATCTTCCCTTCCTCAGCAGAGTAGCGCGCTGCTTGTGTGATACGGAACTCCACCTTCGAAAAGTTTCCAAAGAGCGCTCCGGATCGTGTAGGCATAGATCACACGCGCAAAAGAAGGACAGGCTGCTCCTCCGATGACAATGATGGAGGTCGTTTTTCGGCTCGACTGGAAGCGGAAAATTGCATTAAGAATTTAATTACATGCGCTTCTTTATTGGATGTGTGCAGCGACTGCCATCCGGAGAGTTCCGGAGTAGGAGAGCTACCGTTGGAGACGACGAGGCCGTCCAGTGTTGGATACTTGAGGCGATGGCTGGGTCGTCGGTTGGATGGCTCGGTGGGTGCGTGATTTGCATCGTCAGCGAGATTTTCGGATCATTTTGCACAAATAAAAGTGCAATTTGATGAGCGAATTTTTTTTCGGGAGCTGGTGGTTGACAGCTGGTGTTTCATGGGAACATACAGTAACATCAAAGTCGTTCCGGCTCTTCGGGGGGAAGAATGCTTGTTTACTAGGTAATTGCTCTGGGGATGGACGTTTGACTCACCGACTTGAAGTGATCCTCGGTACCAACAAATCAAAAGTCATGTCAAAGCGATACTTTTGGCTCGGAGAACGATTCCTTCTCGTCGTCGGGGTTCGTTTCGTGTGGTCAGTGCACGTTGATGATGCTGTAGTTGAAGAAACGGCTCATGATTTTCAGCTTTGATCGGATACCACCCAATCACACGTTGTCTTATCATAGCCAGCACTACACAGCGGGTTCCCAGCTCTAGAAGGTAGCCGCTTGATGCCTGATTTTCAATATCATCTATCACAACCTAAGAAGCCTAGCAACTGCTTTCCTATGTGCCGAGTTTCCAATCGTAGTCCTTTTTTTGTTGCCCTGAAATCGCAAAAGTAAGAGGTTGTATCCATGGCACGACCGTAGATTTGACATGGGATTACGAAAGGTAACTTTGATGTCACAGCAAAATTATAGTATATATTAAATTGATTTCTTTACTCGTTATCAGTGAAAAAGTTCGATAGGTTTAAATTCGGAAGCAATTTGAGAGCAGGCCCCAAAAAAGTCACTTTCAATCGATAATCGTCAAGCGACGACGAAGCTGTCAACCATCACTTTCAATTGAAAGTCATTCTGTCTTCTCTTCGAGCAGATGAACATCAACGGAACCACTTTCGATCAGTTTTCATGCTGTTTGTATAGTCTTGACTAGTGTTCATTTCGTCTTTCATTGTCAAATGAACTTACTTGCGCATTGAAGCGAAGCTGTTTGATCCAAATTCACGCAGTTTTTCTGACTTTGGTTGATTGTTCACTCGGTTAATTTGTGTTGAAATACCAATTTTCGTATTACCCTAAGCATATGCTACATAGTGAAACTGTGTAGGCCAAATGTTATCGCAGTTACCTTGCAACGTCGGTACACTGACTTGGATACAACTCACTAGACTACGGCAATGGTTCACTGGTACTGGATTATGGTTCGATGTGAAGAAATAACGCGTTGATTGACGGTTTGAAAGATATATTTCACTTTTGGAGATAGTTTGTAAACTGATCTTATATTGCAATCCTGGTCCGTTTTTATATCATTTATCTCCTCATGGGTTCATATGGAAGCCTTTGTGACTTTTTAAGCTATTGTACAAATTTAAATTGTTTTTCAACCTTCATCTGTCCCCTAATTTAAGCACAATTATAATCCATTTACATCTGCTCTTCTTCAACTGCCAATTTAATGCACACATCTAAACTTGTCTTCTTTCCTTTTCTAATAAATTGCATGCAAGTTTTGAGTGTTTGACCGAGTGTGAACTCATTGTTAACCCATGTAACTTAGTCGATATTCATCTTATTTTACTAATACTAAACTACTACTACTATTGTGGAGCATATATTGTTGCTGTCAACTCAGCAGAATCAAAACAAATCTAATTTTCTGCTGCTGCAGTCGCTTGGTAGTAAGACTAATTCTAGATAGATTTTTTAGTATTAAGTAATTCGACAGTGAGCATGCATAAGGGCCTATACGCGATGATCGATTCTCTTCGTCGATTTTCTCTTTTGTTAATAACTCGCTAGATTTAACGTTTCTCGGAGCGTTTACTGTTGCTTTTGATAGCCAATACAACCTGTTACTACTCTGCATTGAACAAATTCTTGAAAATTGTTTCGCTTAGCTGTAGCAATGCAAAGAGAAAATCGATGAAGAGAATCAATCATCGCGTATTCGCCCTTATGAATGCTCACTGTCGAATTAATCATTTTAATTCGTTTCAGGTTGAATGCCTATTGGTTGGCCGAAACATGCCGCCCACCAAAATTAATGGTTTTATTTTTCAGGTTTAACTGGCAACTTACTCAAGTTGTGAACGGACTGAACGATTTCACCGTTGGAGGTTTTCACAGTTGCTAGCCGTGGGTTTCCGTCTGGTGCTCCATGAAGATGTTGAATTCTGCCGGTGACCCATCGATTGACTGGCAATTTCTGTTGCCTTACCAGGACCAGATCACCTTCCTCCAGTGTGTTGGTCGTTCGATGCCATTTTCCCTTCAGTTGCAGTTCCGGAATGTACTCCTTGCTCCAACGGTCCCAAAAGTGTTGCCGGAGCTCGTTGACGTAACGAAACCTAACGTCGTATGGCTCGTCAGGACTTGGAAGATAATCCTGTTCGTTGATGGCTGTTAGCGGTCGTCCGATCAAAAAGTGCCCTGGTGTAAGGGGCTGCAGGTCATTCGGGTCGTTCGATGCTGGCGAAATGGGCCGCGAGTTCAAGATACTCTCGATTTCGGCGAGCAACGTTCCGAACTCTTCGAATGTGAGCCGAGCTTTCTGCGTCACAATATTTAGATGATGTTTGGCCGATTTGATTGCTGCCTCCCAAAGTCCTCCCATATGTGGCGAGCCGGGTGGGTTAAAATGCCACTGTGTACCACCCATCGCTAGGAAGTCCGCTACACGATTGTTGTGGTCGGATGAACTGATTTTCCGATACCAATATCTCATTTCGTTATCTGCTCCCACAAAATTGGTGCCATTGTCGCTGTACATATGTCCACAGTGACCTCGTCTAGCCACAAATCGTCGCATGGCTGCCAAAAATGCTTTCGTGGAGAGCTTGGAGACCGCCTCGAGATGTACTGCTTTGGTCGCGAAGCAAACAAAAATTGCTATGTAGCCTTTGATTGTGGGTGTTCCTCTTGTGCGCTTTTCAACCAGCGTGATTGGCCCTGCGTAGTGCGCAGTGAAAGAAAGGCGGTGCTGGTGTGACTCTAGTTTCCGGAAGTTGCCCCATGATTTGTTGCAACATGCCACGATTTGGGGCGTTCTTGTGGCATGGGACACATTTCCAGATGGTGTTTCTGGCTAATTTCCTTCCATGTGGAACCCAGAACGTTTCTCTGACTGCGGACAGTAGCGAAGTCGCTCCGAGATGGTGGTTACGAAGGTGTTCGTGGTTGAATATTATGGTCGCTAATCTACTTTCTGCCGGTATGATCAGTGGGTGCTTTGCTGTGTATTCCAGATTGGATCTGGCGAGCCGGCCGCCCACCCTGAGGAGATTGCTTTCGACGAACGGGCTTAGCGGTAGCAGCTTGCTTCGGTCCGGCAACGGTTTGCATTTCTCTAGTGCTGAAATCTCTGCCGCATATGCTTGGTGTTGCGTGTAGCGAATGAGCAACCTTTTTGCTGCATTGATTTCGATGACGGATAACGGTCCGACAGTTCGTTGGGCTCGTTCCAGCTGGCAATTCTCGCTGAATCGGATGATCCAAGCTGTCACCCTGAGAAGTTTCGTGTAGGACGAGTATTTGTGGAGTATATCCTCGATGACGTCCCTATATGTCATGAGGTATGCCAGGATGGGCTGTTGACGCCTGACTTCGGTGTTGATGACTTCTTCTTCTTTGCGTGTTGGATTCGGTACAGGTGCCTCCGTGGTAGTGCTAGGTTCCCAATCTGGTTCGTGCCACCACAGCTTCGACAAGGCAAGCACACACGGTGCTACCCCATGCGTGAGGAGATCCGCCGGGTTCTGTTTCGTGGGAACGTGTCTCCAATCCGAGGCCGGGATGATCGTATTGATGGTTGCTACCCGGTTGGCGACGTATATTTTCCACCGGGCTGGGTCTCCTGCAATCCAGGCTAGCGTCGTGGTCGAGTCGCTGAATGCCAGGGTTTGATGAATCGGAATCCGAAGGGTGGACTTCATGGCCTTGATTAGCTCCGCGAGCAAGGTTGCTGCACACAGCTCCAATCGAGGTAGCGACGGTCTGTTGATGGGCGCCACGCGCGATTTGGACCCAAGTAGGTGCGAACTGATATCACCGTTTTCGTCGATCGCTCGTAAGTATACAGCTGCTCCATATACTTCGAGTGAGGCGTCACAAAACCCGTGGAGATGATATTGTACAGGCTGTGGAACGCTTATACACCGCCGCGGGACCTTTATTTGCCAGACATTTCGTAGATACACCAAGTATATACGCCACCGGTGGTTGAACTGATTTGGCAGCGGCTCAGACCAATCAGTTTGGATTTTCCACAACTCCTGCATCATCATTTTTGCAATCACCACTATTGGTCCGATGAGTCCAAGAGGGTCGAAGATCTTGGCGATGGTGGATAGTACTTCTCGCTTCGTGAAGCACTCCTTGATGGGATCATCGGATGCCTTGAAGGTGAAGAGATCTTCCCGATGTTGCCATTGGACGCCGAGTGTCTTGATGGTCTCCTGACTGTCTACCGTGTGAACTACGCTGACTGCTCTGTCTTCTGGCGGTATATCGTCTAGCACTTCCCTGTCGTTGGACGCCCACTTTCGGATCTCAAATCCTCCTCGCTTCATCATTTCAGTAATTTGCTGACGTTTTTGCTTGGCTTCCTCGCGTGTTGCCGCACCGATGAGTAGATCATCAACATAGAAATCTTTGATTGCTTCCTTGGCCAGCGGGAATTCGATGCCTTCGTCCTCTCCTAGCTGATTTAACGTTCTGGTTGCCAAGAAAAGAGCACAGGACATGCCAAACGTGACGGTGTTTAGCCCGTATTCCGCCATAGGTTGTCCGAATTCTTGCCATAGTATGCGGATTCGTTCACTGTCTTCCTCGGTCACCTTCACTTGAAGAAACATCTTCGTAAGGTCTGAGGTGAGTACGACCGGATACAATCGAAAGTTCATCAGGAGGTTATACAACGTATCCTGCACGATGGGTCCGGTCGCCAACAGGTCGTTGAGCGACAGTCCGTTCGACGAGTTCTTTGCTGCATTGAACACCACTCGAAGCTTCGTAGTGGAGCTTTCAGCCTTGATGACGCCGTGATGCGCCAGGTAAATGATCTTCGGGTGATTTGGATCGGGTGCAATTCTCGTGATGTGGTTGTTTTCCAGGAACTCTTCCACGTACTTGTGGTAGAGTACGTACTTTTCCGGATCCCGCTGCAGTTGCCGTTGCATTGCCGTTGCATTGCCGTAAACTGTGCCAAAACGGAGTAGACGGTTTCTCCTATCGCTGTAGGATCGCGGATGAACGGCAGTTTCACTATGTAGCGTCCGTGGTAAGGAAAGAGCTACAATAGATTCTGCTGCAAACTGCTGTACAATAGAATATGCGCTATCTTTTACTGTGCAAATGTTTAGCTGAACTACGTGCCGTATATGCCTATACGGACAGCCGGAGAGTGTAGAAGAGTTCGGATATTGTGTAAATCGCTACCGGACTATACTCTGTATATGGATATTAATGACTAGATTTCATGTAAAAAAATTATCTTTGGAATCGAAACGAAGAGTATTATTAATATACAATCTATTCGATTAGTTTACGTTACGGACCTCAACAGGTTATGGGCCCAGGAGATTACTAGAATCACTGGCATATATTTATATTATAAGAATCGCTGGGTTTAAAAATAGGATCTTAAGACTTCTTAAGATATGAAAATTATTGGCTCTTCAACATTCAAAATGGAAGCCAAAGAAGACGGACAACGGCAGCGCTTGGTGATGATACCAACCTTCCAGGGAGCAGTTGGAAAGGATTACCCGTTCTGGAAAGAAAGAGTAACGCACTACCTGAAGCAGCAAGGACTATTGCACTGCCTGGATCGAATTCCCCCCATGGAAGAGTATGGAGATACACCGGAAGGCGCCACGGAGGAAGTAGCAGCTTTGCTGAGAGCGAAGTACCAGAAGCGCTTGAAGGAAGACGACAAGGTGGTCAACATTTTTTGGACCTCGTTGGACAATGACGCCATGGCTCACGTTCTGGAATGTGTCTACGCGAAGCAAATCCTGGACCGTTTAGATTCGGTCTACCTGCGCCATGGACGTCTGGCACTGTTTTCGATACGGCGCAAGATGTATAACCTTCGGACCGCTGGATACAAGACACTTTTGGAGCTGTTCTTGGCCCACGAGAGGCTCATCCAGGATTCGGAGAGAGCGGGTGAAGTGGTATCAGCAGGTTAAAAAGTGGACACCCTGCTAGTTGCCATTCCGGATCGCCACCAGAACATTTTGGATGCTATTGCGGTAATGCGTCAGGGCGATTTAGCTTCGATGTCACTATCGGACATTCCTAGCCTTTTCCTGGATGCCGATGAGAAGGAAGAGGAGCAACACGATTTGGAACCATCTAACGTAGCCATGGCTGCCGACAACCGGATGAAGAAGAAGAAGAATAAGAAAAAGGAGACTCGAGCATGTTACGAATGCGGCAAGGTAGGTCACACCAAGAAGTACTGCTACCGTTTGCTGAACCAACAAAGGATCAAATGGATGTAAAGACAGCATTTATTAATGGAAATTTAGAAGAAGAAGTTTATATGAAATTGCCTTGTGACGAAAATGGACAGAGCCAAATGTGTCGTTTGAACAAGAGCCTTTATGGGTTAAAGCAGGCTGGAAGAAGCTGGAACCAATGTTTTGACGAAGTCATGATGAAGTTTGGTTTTTCGAAACTATCGAGCGATTCCTGCGTTTATGTGTTCAAGGATAATGCATTATATATCGTGCTTTATGTGGGTGATATCCTAATTGTTGCTGATGATATGTCAAGAGTTGACTGGATCAAGCAAAAATTATCGAAGAGATTCCGAATGAAGGATATTGGAGAAGTCAAGACTTATTTAGGATTAGAAATCGAAAGAAGTGTTGAGAATTTCTCAAAAGAGCTATATTGAGAAAATTCTATGTCGTTTTGGAATGCAAGATTGCAAACCAGTTGCAACACCCATGGATGCCAATGTGAAATGGGAAGCATCTGAAAGCATTAGAACGGAAGAGCCGTATAAAGCTTTATAAGGGTGTTTACAATACTTGGCTAAAATGTCTCGGCCCGATATCAGCGCAGCTGTAAGTATCCTGAGCAGATTTCAAAGTTGTGCATCAGATGCACATTGGAATGGATTGAAGAGAATTCTACGATATCTGCAAGGACCAAAAGGTCTATTTCTTCTATACAGTTTTCATGAAAAAGCAAGGGCATTGGAAGGATATGCGGATGCAGATTTCGGAAACAATTTTGAAGATAGAAGATCGAATCTTTTTTCTAGTTTATGGAAATGTAGTTTCCTGGTCAACAAAGCGACAACCCACCAGTAAGCTTATCGTCAACAGAAGCTGAACTGATTTCCCTTTGTAATGGAACAAAGGAAGGAATTTGGTTATCTAGTTTAATACGTGAGATAGGAATTGAGTAATGTCCTTTCACAATTTATGAAGATAACATTCCTTGTATTCGCATTGCTGAAGAACCAAGAGAACACCAGAGAACGAAACATATTGATATAAAATATAGGGGAAATGACGGCTTCGGCATGACAGACTATTTTCGGCAACCCAAATTGAAACACTATTTTCACTGGATTTTCTTACGAAAACACTTCGCTGAATGCATGTAAACGATTCTTTATGCTTTCAGCTTCAATTTGACTATATTTTTATCACTGAGCAAAAGCAATCTAGCAAGGTTTTCTTGAAATGCAACACACGCACCACAAATTGTAGCTGATTTCGAATTGCCGATAATAGAACAGCAGATTTACATGCAGTTCAAATGGAACGGTTGCCGAAGAAAAACTGGTTGCCGACAATACTCGCTCTCACTAGAGAAGATTGGAGCTTTGTAAAAGCATTTCAAAACAGTTTTTGGCAATTCTTTCGACTGAAATTGTTAGAGCAGCTGGCAGCAAAAGATTGTAAACAAACCAATACTGCATATGTGTGCGTTCCTTAGAGAAAAAAGCTATAGAAAGAAGGTCGCTGCTTAGGTTGCCGAGAATACGTAAATTCCCCTATGTTCATTCGAGAACTTATTCAGACCAAGAAGGTGAATATCCAATACATCAGGAGCGAAGACCAGCTTGCGGATATCCTCACGAAGCCATTACCAAGGATCACGTTCGAAAGGATGACTGCGAATCTACAATTACGAAATTGAGGGGAAGTGTTGAAATACCAATTTTGATCTGTGCACATGGATGTCAAATATATCATTGTTGGGTGGTTTGTTAACCCATCAAATTTTTGAAATCGGAGTGACGTCTAGAGACTGGAAATCGATGACGGACGCCATTTCGAAATCCAAGATGACGACTTCTGATTCCAGAAAAAAAGTGTGAAATACTGACAACCATGTATCAATATGGGTATTTTTGGAATTGAAATGACGTCTGAAGATCGAAAATAGATATGCGACCAAATTTTAAAATCCAAAATTAAGGCTTCCGGTTTAAAAAGAGAGAAGTACTGTGAAATACCCATTAATATAGGTATTTTTCGAATCGGGATGATGACTAGAGGCTGAAAATCGATCTCCGACGTTATTTTGAAATCCAATTCATTTAACTCATAAATTCCATGTGTGCTTCTGGGTGGATTCTGTTGATGTGTGGTCACATGAAAATCATGTGGAATTTCACATGGCGATTTATCAATAAAAATGTTTGTAATTTTATTAGTGTAAACTATGGGAATTTTCAGAGCGTAGCTAAGATGACGGTTTTTTTTCTCGTTTTTGCTCGAACCGTTTTTCCATACAAAAAAAAATGTTTTGTATGGAAAATATGGTTGTTGTTTATTGTTTATCAGTCAACAGGTAAAATGTTTACCCCAATGACACTTGTTCTACAACTAAATACAAAACTAACGAATAACATAAATTGAAGGTTAAGTTTGTATCAACCAGAATCCTCAGGTCCTTGACTGTCGAATCACGTTGTAGATTCACGCCTCCCAAAGCATAGCTTAAATGGAAGAGTGATTGCTTGCGGCCAAATGAAATAACCGAACATTTGGACACGTTCAGTGACATTCGATTAATATGGCACCATTCAGCGAAGGCTTCCAGTTGTTGTTGCAGAAAAAACGCGTCTTGTGGTTGCTTAATCATGTAGTAAAGCTTCAGGTCATCGGCATACGAGAGTTTTAGGCATTTCAAGATGAAATTGACATCGTTCATATACAGCAAGAATAGAAACGGCCCCAAGAAACACCGGACCAAACCGGAAAGGAGGGCGAAACGTGGTCTCCAATTTTGACGGACATACTTCGACCGGTTAGGTAGGATCGAAGCCAGGAAAGCAAGTTACTGTTCATTCCCAGCTTGTCGAATTTAGCAACTGCGATTTGATGATTCATTTTATCAAACGCCGCGGATAAGTCTGCGTAAAGGGTGTCCACGATGAAATTGCCACACTATGAAATTGCTCTAACTTTTTAACCGTTGGGTAGAATTTAATGAAAATTTGGGTGGATTTAGTTCATAGTGCATTATTTACATCCTGCAAGTTTTAAAGTCCTGTGATCAAAACTCGCGGAAATGGAGTCGAAAGAACAGCTCGTGCGTGATAAAATCTTGCGCATTCATCACGAGAACAAGGATCTCTCGCATCGTTCCATCGCTAAAACGTTGGGAATCGCGAATTCCACGGTGTCGCGAGCAGGGCGTCACAATATCAGCTTCAATCGACCAAATCGATGCGACGAAGAGACTGCTGGCTTTCTTTTTCTGTTAAAGTCGAACAGCTTCGCAGCATTCTAGAACCTCAGTCGGCGTGCACAAACAAATGTTCAATCGCTTGTCTCTCTTTCTCCCGTCGCTCCATTGGTCTTCCTTTCAAGCTTCGTCGAAATGGATGAGCGAAAGAGCGCTCGACTTTGATAGTTTTCTCTTTCATGAAACACATCAACAGAGGTTTCATGACGTATATGACGGAAAATGAAATAACACATTTAAAGCATTTCTCACGTCAAAACACTTGAAGATTACACGTCATATTTCTAATTTATCTTCCATCCATATATTTATCTAAAAAAAATGATCGAAAACGGGACATAACGCATTTTAAACAAATTGAAAGAGCGGCGATAGAGTGTTCGTGAAAGGGGATTGAAAGCCATAATGAAGTTCGTTTAACTAGAAAATCGACGTTATTTACATTGAAAGCGATGAG